ACTAAGTTAACTTTGGTACATTATTAATTGAACATAATTTCTTATATAAACGGGCAAAAGAAGTATTTCATGAGAAAACTAAATAAATATAACAAATAGTTTTTTTAATTGTTAAAGGTTTTGAATTATTAGATCCCAATATACAATCCATCAAACCACTATTTTAAGCTATTTTGATTGATATAATCTAGTAAATAAGAAGTGAAAAATTCTTAAAGCCTCTAAAATATAACTCTTGAATTTACACTCAATGATGTTGAATGTTATGTGTCAATCAATTTATTTATAAATGAATCAATTAAGACTCAACCCCTACAAAGTTATTGTGGACAAATTTATAAGTGAAGTTTTAGGTTCTCTAGCATTACTCATAAAAAAAATACATACCATTTTATTTTTTTAATTTAAAAAATAAGTGACATACACCTCTTACCATACCAAACCAAACCAAGCCTTAAGTCCCATCAAATGGGGTCGGCTACATGAATCCTTCTTCTCCACGCGGCCCTATCAAAGGCCATTTCATTAGTCAAATTAAGTAGATTCATATCTCTATTTATAACACTAGTCAACGTTAATCTAGGCCTACCCCGTCCCCTAACACTTCCATCTACCGTTACAGCATCGCATCTCTTCACTACTGCCTCTGTTGGTCTCCGTTGAATATGACATACACCTCTTGTATTAATAAAATTGATACTATTATTTAAAATGTGAAATAATTAGAAATCATTTTCATTATGCACTGAAATAGAAAGTTAGTAAAGTAATTTTTGTAAATTTAAGAAATCATCCCATTATATATTTTACAAATATTTGTCAATACAAAATTAATATTAAATTATAAAAAATCAGAGGGGGTCGGCCCCTCTCGTCCCTACACATTTCCACCCCTGAATATAATGTAAAAGTACATAACATGATAAATTTTGTTCAATAAATTTTACATAAAAAAATAGGTATAAGTTAATATTCAAATATAATTAAGTGAAAAAGTAACAAATATTGTAGAACTTGAAAATTGGATATTCAAATATGTATAGATAAGATTTTTACTTTAAATTGTATGTAATTAGAAAATAAAAAGAGAAAATAGCATTATATATAACAGTGATGCTGCGTAGCTTGATTTTTGTGTGGCTTGAGTGGCCCGACTTTTCACTTTTCAACCTCTCTCTCCCTTTGTCTCCTTCCTCAGTTTCTTCCCTTCTTCTCCTTCTTCTGTTTATCTCTTTCTCTTCTTCAACAGTTTACGATGATAATTGGGGAGCTTTCCCAGATTGGCACTATACTTTAGTTGTTCATCTCTCCATTGATTTGTTCATGTCTCTGTTGAAAGAACTGTTGATCAACAGATTTGTTCATCCCTCTCCATTGAAAGGGAGCTGATCTAGTCACTATATTTTCATCTCTCCAGACTCTCTGAACAAATCAAAATTGCTGTTCATCTCCTAGATTGGCAAAAAACATTGAAGATTAGTCTACAATTAATCAATTGGAGAGCTAACAAATCAAAAACAAATCAAACCCAAATCAAAAATTTGGAAGAGCTAACAAATTAGACCCAAAACCAATTCAAACCGAAATCTAGGAAAGCTAACAAACCAAACCCAAAAATCTGGGAAAAGAAATCAAACCCAAATCAGTCAAACCCAAAAATCAAAATCAAAACCAATAAGCCACAAAGCAAATCATACAAAATCAATCAAACCCAAAACAGAGGGGGAAGAGAAGGAGCTCACCTTGCCTCGTCGTAGACTCTGACGGTGATCCGGATTGTGGGTGTCGCAGAAGGAGAAGGAGGAGGCTTTTGGAGTAAAGAAGAGAGAGAGAGAGAGCCAAATGAAACCCAAATAAAAAATCTGGGAAAGCTAACAAATCACCCTCCTCTGTCTTGTCCTTCTCTTCTTCTGTCTTCCTCCTCCTTCTGTCTCCTCCTTGTGTATGTTCAGAGACAAAACATTGGAGAAGAGAAAAAGAAAAGAAAAGTGAGAAGAAAACAAAAACCCAAAACGACATCGTTTTGGGTAGTTCAAGCCATTCAGGCTGAAATGTTTCGAGCTACGAAACATTATTGTATATATAAATAAAAAAAATTAAAAGTAAAAAAATGGAGTGTAATGGTCATAACGGCTGTAATGTTGCTGTGGCGGCAATGTAATGACCATTACGGCCTTTATGTAACAATGATGACCATTACGATTGTAAATTTTTACCACATCGTGCTTGTCGGGTTTTATTGTTCACTGCAATTGGGTTCTCAAGCATACGAAAATGTCGTCGTCAAGTATAATAATCCTCCGAAATCCCAAGGTCATTTCCACATGGATTTATTGTATAAGTCTAAAGAGTTTATGAAATTTTGGTTTGATGTGGAGTTTGAGTTGGTCACAGAAGATTTAGTGTGGTCGTTCATAAAAATTTTAATGAGACTAAGGTTTGTAGATTCACTCACAACAAGTTGAATGGTGTTTGCCAAAAATTCTAATTTTATAACTCAGTTGAGATTCATACGAAAGTTGAACCCAATCGGAAAGTTTAACAACTTTTAGTTCATGAAAAATAATTTCCACAAATATGATTTCATAAAAACTTGATTGGTTTAACATTTCAAAACTAGTAATTTAATTCACAAGAAATTCTAAGCATTCACTGTACCTGGAGTTAACGATAAATCAAAGAATTATACAAAATAAAATATTTTTTCAAATAAAATAACCAATAAAATAAAATAAAATCTTACATTAAAACCATGAAGAATAATTGGCAAACATCAAACACTTGGTGTGAGTTCAGTCCCCCCCTTCGCAAAATATTTAGCTACTCATAATTAACTACACAAATTGAAAAAAGAAATATGAACTACTCTCTCGGCTCTCTACCTTCTACTCTCTGCCCTCTTACCGAACTCCCCCTCTTCCGAATGCTTGCTCAATTTATTGGTTGCTGCAAAGTTTCAATAATTCAATGCCATCATGAATGACAACCTGCAAAAGCAAATCGATTGAATAAATAAAAGTGAAGTGGGTGATGATCCGTACAACCTGCAGAACAAATAAATAAGCAATATAAAAGAAAGAAAGAATGGAAGGGGTGGTGATTTAAGTGCGGCACTTCATGATTCTTTTATTTTTTTTATTAGTTTATTAATATAAAATGTCTATAAAAAAAATTATTTAAAACTGTTTATATAGAAGCACAGAAATATATGCAAACACTTAAAATCATACAAAATTATAAAATAATACAAATAAATAGATTTATAAAGTGTATATTAGCAGATTAAATGTGTAATATTTAGGTATCAATCACATCACTATGATGGTAGCAGTAATTACTAGAACCATTACGTAACGACATTACGTAATTGTTGCAGCCGCTTGTTAAAAGACATATATACCTTTTTCTTCTTCTCCATCTTCATCTTCTACGTTTCACTCAAACCCTAAACCTGACCCATCTACCCCTTCAAACACTTCCTACGCCATTAAGTGTCAATTGAAACCACTTAAGAAGAAAGTTGAATACAAAAATTTAAAGGAAAGGAAATAAATTTCATTTTGATGGAGTGGCAATACAATTACAAGAGAGGGAAATGTACTTTACTATTACGTTTACTTCTATTCTTTCCGAGTACATCACTTTTAGAATTATAAGTATTTGAATCTACTCCTAATCTTGTTATTGTTCATGTTATTGCTTGGTTATTGCTTGGTTTCAAGATTGGAGTGTGTACATTAAGGAATGGTCATCAGATCTTCATCTTGAGCAAGAAAGGTTTGTATGGCTGAGCTGCTATGGAATACCATTCAACCTATGGAATAAAAGATGCATTTAGAAAAATTGGAAGATTATGGGGGGAGGTGATTTGTTTTGATGGAGATACATGTGAGGCATCATCTTTTTGGTATGGAAAAATCAAGATTGCCACAAACCTCATGGAGCCAATAAATATAAATCTATTTTTGGAGTGCAAGAGAAGAGCATATCCTATTAGAGTGTGTGAAGAGCAGATTGTGAAAAAGGTAAAAGCTACTTGTAAATGCAACCTAGCTGATGGTGATAAGGAGTATGTCAGCTCCAATGTCTATGGTGAAGTGCAGCTCAATGCTGATTCCAAATTAGAGAAAGATGAAGATGACCTGGTAGTTGTGGTGGTTGATGATGTAGAAGTTACCAATGAGCTGGTTGAAGGGGATTTGCCAATTAGGAGGAATAAAGGTGGTGAGGTGGTTGCAGAAGGTAACTAGATGGAGGTTTCAATAGTTGAAGAAACTGAAGATTACATTAGGAAATCAAATGAAGCTGCCAAAAGTAAGAATGCAGTTGGCATTGGGAAAGCAATTGAAAAGGGCACACCTGAAGTAGAGACAATGATGAAGGGAAAATGAGGATTACAGCAGGGGTGTAATGATGAGACTCTAAAAGCAGGTGGTTAGACTCACATACTAGGTTCAGTGAGAAGTTTGAGTGGGTCTTTGAGGGTCAAACCTGCTATTAACTTGGAAGTTCTTTTGGGCTAAAAGCAGTGCACTAATCTAATCATTGGGCCAGGTACAAACCAACATTTTGGCTCTAGTATTAATCAGCCCAATATGTGGGCTGAACATGGGCATATTGTGATGGGTTCTAAGTCCAGTGATTGTGACTCTATTAGTGGTAAGATGAAGTCTACAAACAATAAAGGGAAAAGAAAAGTGGGTGCCAGAAACTCCATGTTAGTAGATGGATTCTTTGGGTTTGCTAGAAGGCTAGGGCATGGGGGGGCTGGATCAAGTAAAAGGAACCACAAAGGGGTGGTTGTCAGGTCGGCAACTGCTGCTATGTTGAGATCTGTATAAGATAAATCTAAGCATAGTTGCATCAAAGGAAAACTCCATGAGGCTCAACTAACACTTCTTTAGCAGGTAAGAGTTTGGGGATTGATTGTCAGGGCCAAGACGAGTGAATGCTTCAAAAACTTGTCCAGATGGAGGAGATAGATAAAGAAAGGATTGGAGATGGGGTTGAAGGGGCAACATAATCAGCTCTTACTGGGTGCTATGAAAGAGCACAAATCTGTTGATATGAAGTGGTTAAGTTGGAACATCAGAGGGATTGGCATGAATGAGAAGTTGAGAAAAATTAAGAAGGTCTTGGTAGATAGGAAAATAGATTTGGCATTATTTCAAGAAACAAAAAAGGCAAGCTTTTCACGTGTGAATGTTAAAAGATTGTGGCCTAGAGACAAAATGGAGTTCATGGTTGTTGATGCTGAGGGCAGGGCCGGGAGGCTGATTTGTGTATGGGATCCTAATGTGTTTCAGCTCTCAGATTGTTGCAGCAATAGGCATTTCATTCTGCTTGCAGGTACTGTTCTTAACTCATTTGATTGTGTTGTTCTTAATGTGTATGCTCCAAATGACCCTGTGAGGAGAGGTAAATTATGGAAGATCCTAGTAAACTTGAAAGCAAGTTTCACTAAACCTTGGTGCGTTTATGGAGATTTTAATGAAATTAGATCAGTGGATGAAAGAGTGGGTTGTTCAAGAAGGGAAAGAGGTATAAGTATGAAAGACTTCAATGATTTTATAGATAGGTGTGAGTTGACTGAGTTACCAATGCTGGGTAAGAAATTTACCTGGTGTAATGCAATTGATGGCAATAAATGGAGTAAATTTGATAGGCTCCTACTGAGCCCTGAGTGGATTGAAAGATTCAAGCCCAAACTGTGGGGATTACCTAGACACATTTATGATCATTGTCCTCTACTTTTAATGGAGGACGTAAGGGATTGGGGACCCAAACCCTTTAAGTTCACTAATGCTTGGGTGTTGCACCCCAATTTTGCATCCTTTTTAGAGAGAGCTTGGCAAGAGTCACAGCTAAATGGAAGAGCATGTGTAATATTGCAAAGGAAATTACATGCATTGAAGCTAGCATTAAAGCAATGGAGCAAAGAGTTGTTTGGTAATGTCTCAGAGAAAATTAAAGAAATTGAGAGCCAGTTGTACTCATTGGATTTATTGGCTGAAGATAGACCCTTGGTGGAAGAAGAGCTAAAGCTAAAAAGAGAGACAAGTAGTCAACTATGGAGGTTTGGTAGAATGTTGGAATGGTCATGGCTGCAAAAGTCAAGATTGGAGTGGAACTTAAAAGGGGACAGAAACACCAAATTCTTTCATGTGATGGCGAACAGTAGGCAGAATAAGAATGCACTAAACTCTATCCTAGTGAAGGGGTTGGTTGTTGAGGATCTAGGGCAAGTGAAGAATGTGGTATGGGCACACTTCAACAGGCACTTTTCAGAAGCATGGACGATTAGACCTGTCTTAACTAGTGATTCAAGAGTGTCAGATGTAGTGATTGGTTTCAGCAGCTGGAAGCATAGTTTTCGGAGGAAGAGATATGGGCAACGGTCAAAGAGTGCAATGGAAATAAAGCACCAGGTCCCAATGGCTTTAACTTAATGTGTTTTCAAAAGAATTGGAAGGTGTTTAAAGAAGATGTGATGCTGCTCATGAAAGAGTTCCACAGTTTGGTAGATTGGCTTTTGAAATGAATAGCCCTTTCATCACTTTAATTCCAAAGAAGGTCAATGCAGTCAATCTCAATGATTATAGGCCAATAAGCTTGATTGGGTCAATGTACAAGATTTTGTCCAAGGTTCTAGCAAGTAGACTCAAACCAGTTATGCCAAAAGTAATAAGTGAAACCCAATCAGCTTTTTTGGGTGGAAGAAATATCTTGGATGGGGTTTTGATTACAAAATGGATGGGGTTTTGATTGCAAATGAAATTGTGGACGGGTGGAAGAAAGCCAAGAAGAAGGGACAATTGCTCAAAATTGATTTTGAAAAAGCTTATGATTCCATCAACTGGGGGTTTTTGTTTTCCATGTTGTCCAATTTTGGCGTTGGCTCTAAATGGATTAATTGGATGAAGGAGTATATCTCAAATGGTAGAATTTCAGTACTTGTGAATGGCTCACCAGCTAAAGAGTTTAGTCCACAAAAAGGCCTTAGACAAGGTGATTCATTATCACCTTTCCTATTTAATTTGGCAGCAAAAGGGTTAAGTATTCTATTACTCAGAGCAAGGGAAATGAGATTGATAAAAGGGATACATATTGGTGTCAATAGGGTGGTTGTTTCACATCTACAATTTGCCGACAATTCATTACTTTTCTATGAAGCTGATATAGAGGAGGTAATGAATCTAAAAAGAATCTCAGGACTTAAGACTAATTTCCATAAGAGTATGGTTTATGGGGTTGGAATTTCAATCAATATACTCAAGGAATTTGCTTTAGTGCTTAATTGTAAAACTCAGAATATACCATTGAAATTTCTGGGTTTACCAGTTAGTGCCTTTCCAAGTGGAAAGAAATCTTGGCAACCTATTATTGACAAGATCAAAGCCAGACTTGCTGGGTGGAAAAGGAGGCTCCTATCCTTTGCTGGTAGGCTAACTCTAATCAAATCAGTGTTGTCTAGTTTGCCAGTGTATTATCTTTCTCTCTTCAGGATGCCAGAAGGAGTTGCTAAGGAAATTGATAGATTACAAGCAACTTTCTTGTGGGGGAGGCACAAAATTGAAAAGAAAGATTCATTTAGTATAATGGAAGGAAGTGACCAAGAACATTAATCAAGGTGGATTGGGAATAAGGAGAATTAGGGAGGCAAATGCTTGCCTATTAATGAAGTGGTGGTGGAGATTTGCTAATGAAGAGGAGGCATTATGGAAAAAGGTGATTTGTCATAAGTATAAATTTGAAGATGGAGCATGGCTACCAAATCAAACTTTTGGCATAAGATGGTCTAAGATATGGGGTGATGTCCTAGCAGTGGCAGAGCAAAGTAACACTATTTTACAATTTTTTGTTAACAATTTTCAAATTCAAGTGGGTAATGGGAGTAGAATGAGATTTTGGCATGATAAATGGTGTGGTGGTATTTGTCTAAAAGAGGCTTTCCCTAGAATATTTTCACTTTCAACAGAGAATAATGGCTCTATCAAGCTTTTTGTTGATAAAAAAGGAAGCTCTGGGATATGGGATTTATGTTTAAGAATGCCTTTGAGGCAGTGGGAGGATGAGGAGGTATTCAGGCTCACTGAAGTGTTAAGAGCAACCCTTGTATTATGTTTGGGGGAAAAAGACAAACCAAGGTGGCTAGCTTGTAAACCAGGTCAGTCCTTTGTTGTTTCTTTATATAGGCACTGTGAAATGGGTTTTAGTGCTTTTGTGAGTACTAGTAGACTGGTGTGGATTAATTATCTCCCACCCAAAGTTCAATTTTTTTGGGTGGTTAGCTTGGAAACATAAAATCAAAACTATTGTTTTCCTTCAAAGGGTTGGAGTGCTGGGTGAGGAAGTTTCAAATGTGTGTATTTTTTGTAAATCAGAGGCATAATCTATTTCACATGTCCTCATTTCCTGTCCTCTAATTTGGAAGGTGTGGTCTAGATTAGTGCAGTTGTGGGGATTGGTTTGGGTTGTGCCTGGTTCTGTTGAATGTTTGTTGCATTGGTGGGTTGGTACCTGTCTCATGAAAGCTGAAAGGAGGATATGGAATGCTATTCCTTTGGTTGCCCTTTGGTCTATTTGGAAACAGTGGAATGATTGCTTGTTCAATAATGTTCAACCAGCTATGAAGGAGCTTCAGGAGCCAATTATTATCAGGTTAGCTATTTGGCTAAAGGCCTCTTCTAAGGATTGTCAGTTTTTTATTAATGAATTTCTCTATACACATCAGGCATATTAGAGTTTGTTTAGGTGGTCAGGTTTGTTGTGAAGCACAAGGTTAAACATCAGGTTTGGGTGCATCAGTAGCAGCAGCAATGCCCTGGTTTATAATTTGTTTTCTTTTGGTGAGCTGTAGCAGCAGGTGTTGGTCTGGAATTTGTGTATGGGAGTGTTCACTGGAATCTGTGTATATGGCTGAGGGTGATCTGAGCAAGGTTGTTGATGTGATGGTCTCTAGTGTGCTGTGTTGTTGGTGAGTTGGCTGCTGTTTTGTGGGTGTCATGCTTCTTGGCTGCTTAGCTTGTTACTAGTTTGTTCTATTGGACTATATGCTCTTCTGTTGGACTCTGGTGTGCTGTGTTGTTGGTGAGTTGGCTATTGTTTCTTGGGTGTCTTGCTACTTGGCTGCTCAGCTTGTTACTGGTTTGTTTTGTTGGACTCTGTTGTGTTATGTTGTTAGTGTGTCTACTTTGGGTAGTGTTAGGCTGAGTGTTAGGCTGGGCTTGCGCAGCTGAGTTGTTGTTGTTGTTGTTATGGTGTTTGGTCTGTTTTCTTTGTTGGTTTCTGACCAACTCTGGGGGTGCTAGCAAATGATAGGATGGGCTTTTTGGTGTCAACCTAGTTGGGATGATTTAGCTCATTGTGATGCTTTTGCACTTCCTCTTTCTTTATTAATGTAATTTGTTTTACACTTTGTACTTGTTTATTTCATCAATAAAGTTTTGTTCTTGCTGTTAAAAAAAACTACTCTTATTTGGAAAGGAAAGGCATAACGAAGAAAATAAAGTAATTGAAATATGTTTGGATGGAATTTGATTTCTTATTTCTTCATATGAACTACTATTTATAGCCACAACACTCCTCATTTGCAACTTCTTGGCCATCTAGTAATAGTTGAACGGGTTATAACTGTTTCGCACGTCCCCATAATTAATTAGGTTTTGTCTGGTTTAGCTAGATGGTTCAAGTTTGTTGTTTGTTTGCATGTCAAGCGTTCCCAATGCTTTCTGAGTTGTATGGTCTTCATGTTCTAGTTTTTGGATTGGGGGATTTGGGAAGGATGTGTGAAATTATGTGAAATATATTTATATTTCATTTGGGTGAAACCTATCTTTTCATTTTCCTTTTCCAAATCCCTTCCCCAATCCTCCAACCAAACACAGCGTTATTGTTGCCTATGTTCGGTTTCTCTTGAGATTAGCATGTAAAATTGTTGTTAAAGTATAAAGGTGCTAAGTGTGATTTACCCAATAAAAAAACAAATAAAAGAAATGAAAACCTGATTTCTAAAATTTTGAAAACCACATAAACTAACACATTACGTCAACTGAACCTCATATTGACCCTCTTTAGCCCTGCATCTGTCGAGTACTAAATTGGATGCACTTATATGTGTACACACACATAAAGAGAGAGAGGGAGAGAGAGAGAGAGAGAGAGAAAAGAAGGCAATCAGGCTTGGTTGAAGAGCAACACTTCCATATCCAAAAGAAAATTATTCAAAAATTATCTACAAAAAAGAAATCAATGGTCTATATTTATTAAAACTAGCTTGCTATGGGACTGGGGCTTGTCTTTGGTAGGCTCTCTTGTTGGTGTATTCATGGATTAGATCAGGTTGCTTCTGTCTTGCATGGACGATGTACCTCTTTCCATCAGAGCCGGGGGATACCACGCCATACCTGAGTTTGGGACGCTAAGAGCTCGATCTAAACGAACCTGCAACTCCTAAACTGGAGCTAGATCTCAACAGCACCCCTCCCCACATCTCACAAATTTTAAATCTACACCACACTCACTTTCATATTAAAATTCAGATAAATTTTCATAATGCATAACATTTTTGTTAGTTGAATCACACAAACTTAATTCTAATAACTCTCTAATATATACGGACCCATGAATCCATGCAATCTCATACAAAAAATTAGGACATATATATTATACAAGCATTCTACAAAATAATACTAAAATAATAGTAATAATAATAATTTGCATACATATTCCACTACACATGTTCTCACATTAATTGCATTGGATATTCCTTGGGATATAGAGAAGTTTACCAACCATCCAAGTGCCTAAAGTTATTTACACCTTGGGTCAAATGATAGCATATTTCACAGTAAGCCCACCTTTCCAATCTGGACCATGTTCCTCCATGGAGAATTCGATGCTTCCAACGTTTTCTGGTGACATTATAAACTCACCCACTAGGATGTCAAACCATTCTTCTATAGGCTTTCCTTCTAAACTTTCATTACGCACTACAACAAATAAGAGTTTTAAAAACCAAATATTTTGATATTTAAAAGTGAAAATTTTGTTGCAAAAGGCATTTAGGGACCAATTTCCATCATCATGATGATAGTCGCTAGAAGTTCATCCCGAAAAGTAAAAAACAAGGCATTTAGCGACAATTTTGAAAATGTCATTAATAAATAAACTTTTAGAGACAAAACATCTTGGTCCCAAAATGGTTTATTTTTTGAGATAAAAAATTTGGTCCCAAAAGAATAATAATTCATCACTAATGTCCAATTTTTGTTGCTAAAAATATAATGACACTTTTTGTAACAAAATTATTTGGTTCCTAAATAATAATTTTGTCCCTAAATTTTGGTCTGTAAAACCTTAATTTTTTGTAGTGACGTTGCGTTCTTGAATGTGGGAGAATCATGACAAGCGTCACTATACAATTTGATATATGAGTGTAGTACTCATC